GCTGGTTGATCAGGGATCTGCAAAGTGCAAGATAGAAAAATTGGAGTTAATGAGATCTGAGGAAGAAGCATGCAGATTAATCTCTGCGAGAAGATACAAAATATCTTTGTCTTATGTCTATGTGTACCAGAGAGTGCCCATCACAGAGAAGTCACTGAGCAGCTAGGTTGATGCGATTACTCATCCAGTGGAAAGGAGCCAACCTCTCTCCTCAGCCGCCCCAGAACTTGCACAATGGGCCCATGAACCGAGTAGGCATCTCCCTCTCACTAAGGCTGATCTATTGCCACTACTAAATGTCCAATCTGTCAGAGCAGAGATGATGCTGAGTTCTTGATATGGTACTATCCCTCAAGGAGAGAACCCAGCCACATGGTGACAGGTTGATTACATTAGACCAACTACCCTGAAGGGGCTGTGATTATTCTATGGCCTCACGGGATTGATACACATTCTGAGTAAAGGTTTGCCTTCTGTCTACCATGTCTTGGCCAGAACCACTATCTGAGGCTCATATGACCTTGGAGGATGTATGACAATGGGCACATGATCATGATATGCACTGGTCCTACCATATATCACCCAGAAGCAAACATGTTGGGAAAATGTTGGAATGGCCACTTAAAGGCACAGTGATGGCATAAGCTTGAAAATCGGATTGAGATGCCATCCTTAAGATATATGTATACACTTTGAGCCAACAGCCATTGTATATATGCTGTATCCCTGACAGGTAGAATACATGGGTCCAGGAGCCAAGGAAATGGGTCCTCTCACCTTTATTTCCAATGACCTGCTTGGTGAATTTGTGCTTCCCATCCATATGGCTTTAGTCTCTGTTGAACTAGAGGTTCTAGTTCCCAGAAAGCAGGGTGAGAACCACTATCCAGGGAATAGGTTTTACTGCCACCTGATAATTTTGAGCTTCTCACGCTAGTAGACCAACAGGCAAAGGAAGATGTTACTGAACTGACATAAGTAAGCGACATCTACTAGTCCAGGTGAAGGGCATCTAGAATGGATGGTAGAAAAGGAAGATAATGTGCATCTGTTACAACCTCAGGACCAACTACAACAGTGAGGCCTGTAGCTTGTCCCACTACCCCTCCTGTTGTCTTCTCTTTCTCTTTTTTAATATATTATGACTGGTCACCACCTTGAAGAAGCAGTGACAGAACACAACACTTAATATGGGGTGCAAATTGATCTGAGTGGATGCAAGGGCTGGATTGTACCAGATACTGCTAGTGCCCCATCTTTATCCCTCAAATCTGTCAGTGCACTCCCAAGACTTCCAACTACCAGCATCTGCATCCACAGCTGAGGGATCTTTTCCCCAGAACTGAAGAAAGCTGATGTGCACATCACAGATCATAAAGGCCGAGGAATCAAATGCCCCTGGGGAGAAGACTCAACACTCAAAGATGGTGTATAAATATCCCACCTCCCTTGCTCTTTGGGTGCAATCATTCTGAGCCATGGTTTTTTTGTACCATTTCCTAGAGTTTCCCTGCAGGATAAATATTCAGTTGTCATCTGTGATAGCTGACTTAATAGTGCATCCTTATGGGGCTGCCTTCCTTTCCCTGTATCACTTCCCCACTTCTCTAACAACATTACCTGTGTTTCCCAAATAAACTATTTTCACTCCAATCCTTATCTCAGGGTCTTCTCCTGGAAGAGCCCACGCTAAGACACATGTGGCTCAAGGATCATGCTTTGGGAAACACTGATCCAGACAGTGAACTAATTTATACTAAAATCTCTCTCTCTCCCTCTCCCCTTCTCCTTCCTCCTCTCCATCTCCCTCTGCCTCTCCCTCTCTCTACAGTGTGTGTGTGCATGTATGCATTTATAGTATGTGAGAAAAGTCTGTAAGGATATAAACCAAGTATAACAATAGATCTGAGTAGTGGCATCATGAATATTTCAAATTTCCTTTTATTTTTCTCTTTATTTTTGTTTTTCTACAGCAGCAACTGTACATTAGAAGCTATTTTTAATTGGCAATTAGGAGATTATTAGTGAGTTCAGTGGAGTGGTAGGGACAAGAGCCAAGCTCCAGTAGACTGAAGAATGGCAGGGGAGGATGTGCAGACAATTCTTTCAAGAAGCTGGGCTAGAGAAAGGCAAGAAATGAGATGGTACCTAAAGGTGTGGGGCTGGGGGGCTGTAGAGAGTGTTGTTTTAAGAGAAACTTCAGCACGTTTGTAAGGTGGGGGAAAGTAGTCAATGATGAGGAAGGAGACAAAAATACAGTCAAGAGGAGATAATTGAAGGAGTTGGGTCTCAAGGAGGCCTGAGGGGATTAGACCAGGGCCCAGGAGGAGGAATTAGTCCTGAACAGAAGGCACACTTCATCCTCTGAGACCTGAAGAGAGGGGTGAGGACAAACGACGTTGTAAATGCATTTACTTCACCCATTTGTTTATTTTACATTCTGCCTCATTTCACAAAGGACTTAAGGCATTTCTATAGCTAAGTAGATAGGCTGACGGGAACTGGAAGTTGAGAAGACCCCCTGGAGAGGCTCTACTTTCTTGATGGAGTAGGGGGCAGCGTCACCCACTGAGAAAGGAGCAGGGGTGTCTCTGTGGAGCTTGAGGAGACAAGCAATGGTTTGAAATGATGGGAGAGAGACTGAGAGAGGGAGCTGAGCTGGGCCATTTACCAAGATCATTGGATAGAACTGAGGGCGCAGATTTGGCCCAGCTCCAGGCTGCACAACTGTGGAATCTTCTCCAACAACATCACTACCAAACACATTCACACCCAGCAAAAAGGGGCAGACTGCTTTTGAAAGTGAAGAGACCTTTCCAGAAGCTGTCTCCTCACCTCTCTTCACCATAGGTTCCCCCTTTGGTTTTTCAGACCAGACCTACATTACATGTCCATGCCCAAACCATTACTGGCAAGAGGAATGGGACCATCAAGATGGACTTGGGCCAAACAGGACTTATTCCCTGAACTGAGCTGGTGTCAGCCTTCCGTAGGTCACATGGGGGAGAGGGACAACTAAACAAAATCGGGGCCACAACTGCAAGGAAAAGTTGAAGAATGGCTGTTGGATGAGCAACCAACTTGTTTCTGGCAAGGATGGAGATACTGGACCAGGTGATGGTGTGATAGAGAACATGTAAACAGCAGATGACTAACGCTTAAAACTGTTTCTTAAGTTGTACCTCAATAAAGTTTAACTCAGTGAAAAGATTTCTGGAGGAGGCAGAAACTGGGGAGACACCCTTAACACCTCTGCTCCCTCACCCTACATCAACCCACTAAGTTGTATAGTATCTATACTTTCAAGACCCTGGGCTTCTGTCCTTACCCACTGTCATGGTCCCAGTTCAGGCCTTGCTTCCTGCAGAGACTACGACAGTAGCATCTTAACTGGTGCCTTAGTCTCTCTCCTTCTGCCACCCGAGTCTTCTCTGCTGTGATTCAGCCACACACCTTTATTGTGTGCCAGGCACTTCGCATTATGTAGACACATCAGAAAGGATCCCTGCTTTCACCTTGCTAGTATAATCAGCGTTTCTGTGACTACTTAAAACCCAAATCTGACCAGGTCATTCCCCTGCCTGGAAATCCAATGTCTTCAGGAAATTCTCAACTATGACCCTCAAGGCCCTCCACCTCACCCCAAACCCTTCCCCGCCCCACCCCCAACAGGACAGAACTACTTGCACTTCCCCCAAATGTGTCCTCTCCTTTCACGCCTCTATGCGTTTACACATGCTGCCCCTCTGCCTAGAAATCCCTTATCCCCTCTCCATCTGGCACACAAGACAAAGTCTCCTATTAGTTTTTCTCCCTCCTGCTCCACCTCCCACCCACCTCCACCCCCACACAAACACAGCACTCCAGCAATGTTTGCTGAATAGAGGACACTCCTTGGGTCAGACACTCAACTTCTTTCCCAAGCACCCTTGAAGAAAGCAAAGAGGAAATGAGATACCAGGGCCTGGGAGTGTACGGTGACTTGAACTTGCTTTAAGCAAGCATTTCTCGAGTTTTCATCTGCATATTCTATGCAAAGGTATTTTATGGAGATTACACCTGTTTGTTTTAATACGAAATATTATTTTCCCCACATCTTCAAAGCAATGATCCAGAAAGATGCTCCTTGTTTACTCGTCTCCTCACACTGTCAGCCCCCCACCCACTGCTGGGACCCAAGAGAGACCTGGATGCTGTTTCACGCGCAGATCCCCAAGGAACAGCTGGTTTCGCTCCCCAGGAGAAGAAGGATGGGTGAAGGCGGAGACTGGAGGGGGGGGTCCCTCAAGCTGGAGGCCTGCCCCCGCCCGCTGCGGGGGTGGAGTTGCGCGGGCACCGCCCACGGGGGCGGGGAGGGAGCCAAGGCCGCCGGCTGCTCTGGCTAGGCTGGTTCCGGGTTGGGAGGCTGCCCTGGGACTGGAGCTGTGGCAGCTGAGTCGGCCAGGGTAAGGGGCCGCTCGAGGCCTGGGCTTGGGGCCAGGATCGGGCCACTGAGTGGACCCGCACCCCTCCTCTGCTCTGCTTCGCACGGCCGCCGTGCGTCTCAGCCAGGCTTCCCCTTCTCCCACAACCAACCACCTCTGTCTTCTCCCCCTCCTCCCCCCACCCCCATCCTGGGATTTCAAGCTTCCCAAGGTCTCCGCCCCCGTCCTAGATCCCCTTCTCCCAGCACCCATCCCTTCGAACTGTCCCCTCCCCTAAAACCTCCTCGCCAGGAGCCCCGCCCCTCAGACATCCAAGCCCTCTCCCTCCAGCACCCATCGCTCTGGGTTACCCACTACCTCCTGGGCTCGCGTCCCGGGTAGCCCCTACCCTCTGAGCCCCTGTCTCCGCGTTACCCCCCTGCCCGACAGCACCCCTTTCCATCCCCGGTAGCTCCTACCCCAGCCTCTCTGGGCCTCGTCCCCGCACCTATCCCTCCGTGCTGCCCCCGTCAACGCCGCGCTCTCTGTAGCCGCCCCCCTGCCTCTCGGGCCTCCCGCTCCGCGGCCCCCGGCGCCATGGCGTGCAGCCTCAAGGACGAGCTGCTCTGCTCCATCTGCCTGAGCATCTACCAGGACCCAGTGAGCCTGGGCTGCGAGCACTACTTCTGCCGCCGCTGTATCACCGAGCACTGGGTGCGGCAGGAGGCGCAGGGCGCCCGCGACTGCCCCGAGTGCCGGCGCACGTTCGCTGAGCCCGCGCTAGCGCCGAGCCTTAAGCTGGCCAACATCGTGGAGCGCTACAGCGCCTTCCCGCTGGACGCCATCCTCAACGCGCGCCGCGCCGCGCGACCCTGTCAGGCGCACGACAAGGTCAAGCTCTTCTGCCTCACGGACCGCGCGCTGCTCTGCTTCTTCTGCGACGAGCCGGCTCTGCACGAGCAGCACCAGGTCACCGGCATCGACGACGCCTTCGAGGAGCTGCAGGTGCGCGGCCATGCGGGCTTGGGGCAGGGGCGGGACCAGCTCCGGGTCAGGGCTGGACCGCCTGCAGGGCCCAGTCAGAATTGACTGGGGGCGGGGCCGCCGTCAGGGTCAGGGACCTATCAGAATTAATGGGGCTGCGGCGAGGGGCGGAGCTGCGGCGAGGGGCGGGGCATTAGAGGCGGGGCCTTGGGCAGTCCAGGTCTGCGATAGACCTGAAGTGGGGGCGGTCAGGGATGGGTGGGACCGTGGAGACAAACGAAATCAGAGCTGAACCAGGTACCGGGCTTCGGCAAGGCTGGGGACGAGGCTGAATCAGAGCTGCGCTAGAGCAGAGCCAGTCAGGGGGGACAGGCTCCTGGGGACAGGTGCAGTACCAGAATGGTTCAGGGCAGAATTGAGGACATCTCTGTCTTTCAGAAGCGAAGATGGGAATACTGTCAGGCTAGAACAGGGGCGGGACCGCGGTCCGAGGATGGGTAGGGACTATACCAGGTAGTGGAAATCTAGCCGACTTGGAGGCAGGATAGGGCGGGGCCTCCATCAGGACCTAGAGGTCAGGATCAGTACTAGGGCAGATGGTGCTGGGTTAAGCCTGAGAGAGGGGTCTAAGCTAGGGTCAGGAAACTGTGCTAAGAGGTAGGGTCTGAGTGTCAAGGGCTGGGCCAAGGTGTATGAGGGTTTTTTGTTTTGTTTTGTTTTGTTTTGTTTTGAAGCTGAGATCAAGTTCAGAAGGTTTAAAAACCATTTGAGATTTAAACCAGAGGCAGCTTGAGAGCAGGGCCAGAACTTGAAGATTTAAGATTGGGGCAATAAGGCCCAGAGGTGAGGTGATTCTCTTGGAGTTTCCAGGGGCTTTTGATGACCTCCTTAGCTCTGTCACCCACATCAGGACCTTTGAGGACTAAATGAAACAGTGCATGTTGAGTAACTGAAGAATAGTTGGCATAGGATTGTAACTGGTCTCCCTTAAGCCCTTCTATTGTCACTGAAAAACTCCTGCTCAACCCTCAACGCCCTGCTTAAATGTTCTCTTTGTGAAACTTTCCCCAACCTCCTCTGGCGAAACAAATAGCATCAAAGCCCCATTTCATCAAATGCTTTCTATTGAAAAGTATAACATTTTAAAAAGAAGTGTTCCAAGATCAGCTACATTTGGGAAGTATAGTATATTGCCTATACCTCACTGGAGGACTCTCAGCATACATTTGCATATTAAAGGATTGGAGAAATCTTCTAGCAAAGAAACCAATTTAACTGTGTTTAATACAATGGTTCTCAAGCTTATTTGAGCCTGGAATCTTTTTCTCAAGCTAGACTGTTTAAATCCAGCAGCCCTGCATCCTGTCCTTGGGATACCAGCATAGGACTCAGTGCCCCAAGGACAGGGAAAGTCATCCTATGTATAACCCCAAAGCCTGGCACAAGGCCAGGCCCACAGTACACACCAGTAAAGGTTTGTTGAATGAATAAATGAATGAATGACCCATCCTGAATTGAGCTGGCCTTGACTGTGGACATTTGGAAGCAAACGTTCTTGGCTCAAATATTTTATGAAAATGGAGTGGGTCAACATTGGAGGTAGTGAGTTTTCTGGTCTTCCAGATGTTTAAGCAGGAGCTAAATAACTACTTTCCCCAGTGTTGTAGGGGTTCCCTCTCCCCTTACATTTGAATCTCTGTGAGTCTGTGTGCACCCAGCAGATACCCACGGAGATGAATGTTGGTCCCAGGAGAAATGACCCACGTTCACCATCACCCCCTTCCTGTCCCTTTTCATCCTGAAACCACAACTGATTTAAGTCTGGCTCCCTGAGGATAGAGGCCCTATCAGAGGGTGAACGATAGTCGGGGGCTCTGAGATAATCCATTCATGGCTTGCACAAGGCTGGCATCAGCCTTCTACCCCTAGAGTTCCTTCTACCAGGCACTGGTGTCCCCATCTCCCCATCTGTGAAGTCACCTAAACAGGGAAGAGGAGAGAACCTTTGACAGGTTTGGGTGCAGGTTGTGAGGGCTTGAAGGGACTCTGTCTGAAACCATTCGTCCAACTTCTTCATTATATAGATGTGGAAGCTGAGATCTGGACAGATGATGTGACTGACCAAAGCCACACTGCCAGTGACAGAGCCAGGGCTAGAAAGCACAGCCCTGCCCCAGGCCAGATCTCTCCCCTGCCATTCACCCTCTCCTCAACCTGTCTGACTTTCTAACTGGAGTGGCCTCTGCCTTCAGAGTCTTGGTGCCCTTGTCTGCAAACCAGTAAATCTGAGTTATTGTATTTTGTTTTGTTTTGTTTGCACTCTATTCGGTATCCCAGGGAATGCAAGAGAAATTGAATGTATGTTTTCTCCAAACGTTACTGAAACACTTTTACTCTTGGGGGAAGAGCAAAGCAGGACTGCCACTTACCCTCTAGTGCCCCGGCTCTGGGCTCAGACACACCTGGGTTCCAAACCTGCCCTCATCACAGTTGGTGTAACTCAGTAAGTTGCTTCATGTATACCTTGATGTGCTCATCTGTAAAATGGGTGTCACGATGATTGCTCCCTACCAGGATAATCAAGAAGCTAACCTGAGATGAACCTGCTATTTGAGGCGCCTGGCACATGGTACGGACTGGGTCAGCGCATGTTCCCATCCTTTCTCTTTCTACCTGTGGGAGCTCATGTGCCCAGCTGGATGGATGGATGCCCAGAACCACCTCTCTTGTCTGAAAAGGACAAGAACCTGGTCCCTCTTAGGGGGCCTCTGAGGCACAGGGCTTGGCAAGGTGGTGGCTGAGAAACCTGCCTCGCTTTGGAGGGGATAAGGCTCCTGGGTGACTTTTGAGCCTCCTGCCGTGGGCTTCTCCCTCCTGGCGGGGAGGCAGAGCTCATTAGATATTTATGCTGAGCCTGCCCCTCATACCCTCTCCTCCCACAGCAGCTGGTGGGTCTGTCTCCAGGGCTCCAGGAGCCTGGGCTTGAGCCCCTCTCCTGGAGAATTATAGACTCAGAGCTGGCAGGGCCTTGGGGATCATCTGTTGCAACCCTCACTTGACAGATGGAAAAACAGCAGTAGGGCAGGGAGGGGACCTTGCCCAAGGCCTCGAAAATCAGTGATGGTCAGGCCTGGACTTGGCCTGGAGTCTCCTGACAGTTGGCCTGCAGCTTTTACATTTATTGTAAATCCTGGAGGCAGCAGAGCAGAAGGGTTCAGAGCTCTGGCTTTGTACTCAGGCAGCTCCAATCCTGGTTCTGCCACTTACTGGCTATGTGACCTTACGAAAGTTACTTACCATCTCTGAGCCTCTGGTCCCTCATTGGCAGCATGAGAGTAACGGGGTTAGGATTAAATAAGATGGTATTTGTAAGAACTTAGTACTGCACCTGGCACGTAGGAAGTGCTCCATAAATGACAGCTGCAGTATGTTATATCATACTCAGCACCATTGACATTTTGGACCAGAGCACTGTTTGGGGTGGGGGGCTGTCCTACGCATTGTAGGATGTTTAGCAGCATCCCTGGCCCCTACTCACTGGATGCCAATAGCACTGACTCCCCTCTCCCCCAGTTGTGGCGATCAAAAATGTCTCCCCATACCCAATGCCATCGAGTCGACTCTGACTCATAGCGACCCTATAGGACAAAGTAGAACTGCCCCATAGAGTTTCCAAGGAGCACTTAGTGGATTCGAACTGCCAACCTTTTGGTTAGCAGATGTAGCTATTAATCACTAGGCCACCCAGACATTGCCAAATGTCCCCTGGCGGTCAAAATCACCCCTGGTTGAGAATCCCAGCCTAGACAAGTCCTATTTCTCTTTCAAGGCTCAGTTCAAATATCACCTCCTCTGTGAAGCTTTCCCTGACCTGCCAGGCAGAATTGCTTGGTACTCCAGATCCTAACACTGGGGTCAGATCCTGGCATCATCATATATAAGCTGTGTGTCCTTAGACAAGTCACCTCACATCTCTAAGCCCCCACGTGCTCATCTACAAAATGAGGATAATAGGACATTCTTGGGAAGGATGTAGTAAGGGTTAGGGATGCTATATCAGAAGTGTCTAGTACTGTGCCTGGCACATAGTGGGCACTCAGTACATGGCAACAGATTTTACATTTTGTGCCAGGTGCCCTGCTGAGCGCTTAGGCCTCAGAGCAAAGGGGAAGGAGGGGTACCCATCTCAGAAGGGTATGGGGCTTCTGAGCCCTTGCCTGATGCTTGGGACTGTGCTGAGCGCCTTCCTTGTAGTACCTCACCTAATCTTCATAGCACCATATTGAGTGGGTGCTGCTATTTGTTCCTTTTACAGATGAGGGAACAGGCTCAGAGGAATTAAGTGAGCCAAGTAAACGGCAGAGTCAGAATTTGAACCCAGTCTGATTGGGCCACTCATAACCTCTGAGCCACCTCGGAGGCCTGGGTAGCTGTCTCTCACCCACCCCGCCTGTCTTTGTACCAGGGCTGGGCTAAGGACACGATCTGTCTGTGCCAGCTGATGTGCCGAGGGCAGGTGGCTGGGATCATCTTCGTCTGGCAAGGCGTCTGGCTCTCTGGCCGTCTCAGGTTCCAAACCCCCAGAGAGGGGATCTGATTCCATCTCAGCCACCTCCTCCAGGCCTCATGTGACCATTGGAGCCTCTCCCGAGGCCTCCTTCATGCCAAGGAAAAGAGTGGTGCGTTAGCCTGGAGTGGGGTGTGTGATCCAGAGACACGAGGCAGCCACACGAGGAAGGAACAGGCTTCCGGGACCAGGTTCAAATCCTGCCTCTGGCTAAGTGGCAGGCGCTGCTTTCACTGAACCTTTTTCCCAATGTGGGAAATGAAAACGAGAACAAGACTCCCCACTTTTTGTGTAAAGACAGAGAGAGACTTGCTACCTATTCAAATAGATGACAGATGTGAAGGCACTTTATTTTGTATTGTGAGCAGGCAGGCCACTGGGTTATCTTTGTCCCAGGGAAGCAGCTTCTGCAGTTATTTTTTCCCAGGAAAGGGCAGGATTTATGGGCAAACAG